CACACACACACACACACACACACACACACACACACACACACACACACTGGTTGTTGTCCCACACGTGGCGGCCGGTCTTTGTGCTTGTATCATCAAATGTAGAGAAGTCAGCCTGTGTTCCCCTGCACATATGCAAACGGGAGATAATGTTTTGAAATCTGCAGCAGGAAAAATTACGGCAGATCTTGGAGGTTGGAGGGTACTTGACAGGTGTGTGGGGAGCCGGGAGGTAGGGGAGGAGCTGGGATGCAAGGCGTCTCCAAAGGGGAGGACCCACGAGAATGTTCCCTCTGTTCTAACCGGCTCCTGGGCTACAGTGCCCTCTTCAGGTCTTATTAGGAACTGCAATGAAACCTACAAATGATAGATCCCTTAGGGCTCTGACCTTGACTTTTTTTTCTTTTCTTTTCTTTTCCTTTCGTTCCCTCCCTAACCTCCATTCCTTCCTTCCTTCCTTCTTCCTTCCTTCCTCTGGATTTGACTTTTCTTTTCTTTTCTTTCCCTCCCTCCCTCCCTTCCTTCCTCTTTCTTTCTTTCCTTCTTTTTTCTTTGGCAATGGAGTCCCACTCTGTCACCTAGGCTGGAGTGCAGTGGCGCGATCTTGGCTCACTGCAACCTCTGCCTCCTGGGTTCAGGTGATTTTCTTGCCTCAGCTTCCTGAGGAGCGGGGACTACACATGCCTGCCACCACACTTGACTAAGTTTTTGTATTTTTGGTAGAGATGGGAGTTTCACCATGTTGGCCAGGCTGGTCTCGAACTCCTGAGCTCAGATGATCTGCCTGCTTTGGCCTCCCAAAGTGCTGGGTTTACAGGTGTGAGTCTCTGCGCCTGGCCGTGACCTTGTACATTTCAATACACATTTGTATTGTGGTTTCCACAGATGGCATTTGATTCTTGCACCACAAGTGCTGTGAATCAGTAAAGGAGAAAAATCCCTCTTAGGCTGCTGACATTGGCGCTCAGAGGCTTGTTCTTAAGCCTAAGGAATCTGGCTAATAAGAGACCGAGCTAGGACCTGAGTACAGGATTTAGGACTCGTAACCCCAAAGCCTGTCCACCTCTTAGCCTGATTTGTAGCCTAAGGCTCAGACAGCTCATCAATTCGAGTTTTCCTCTCTCCTCCCCCTCTGCAGGAGTCAGGGCCACTCATCTTATTCCTCAACTCTCTTCAGACTTCTTACTGCTTTCAGTTTCTAAAAAAGAAAAAGAAAAAAGTAGTAGTTATAAGCCACGTATGGTGGCTCATGCCTGTAATCCCAGCACTTTGGGAAAGCAAAGTGGGGGGATCCCTTGAGCTCAGGAGTTTGAGACCACCCTGGGCAACATAGTGAGACCCTCACTTCTACAAAAAATTTAAAAGAATTAGCTGGAGGTAGTGGCATGCACCTGTAGTCCCAGCTACTCAGGAGTCTGAGGTGGGAGAATCACTTGAGCCTGGGAGGTTGAGGCTGCAGTGAGCTGTGATCACACCACGGCACTCCAGCCTGGGACACAGAGCAGGATGCCTTCCCCAGCCCCACAAAAAGAGTAGTTATCAGACTGAACTGTCTGACCACTCCTGAGACGGATGTGAGAGGTAAGTATCTTTGGAATATTTAAAACATTATTGATTCGAAGTTTATCGGATGGCTACTGTGTACCAAGCCTTTGCCTTCAGTGCAAGGAGAAATGAAATGACACCCATGGCCCCTGGGGGCAAAAAGACAGACACACATTAATTCATTTTATTTTACTTATTTATTTATATTTTTTAGACAAACAGCTTTATTTGAAAGATGGGAACAGCTGAGTCCCCTTGATCTCGCAGTCCTGGTGACGTCAGTCTCAGGCGTGAGAGAACCAGTGTTCCTGGGTAGAGAGACTATTTTTTGAGACGGGGTCTTCTTGCTTTGCCACCCAGGCTGGAGGGCAGTGGCACAATTTCGGCTCACAGCAAACTCCACCTCATGGATTCAAACAATTCCTGTGCCTCAGCCTCCGAGTAGCTTAGATTACAGGCACATGCCATCACACCAGGCTAACATTTTTGTGGGTTTTTTTTTTTTTTTTGTAGTAGGGATGGGGTTTTGCCATGTTGGCCAGGCTGGTTCGAACTCCTGACCTCAGGTGATCTGCCCACCTTGGTTTCCCAAAGTGCTGGGATTACAGGCATGAGTGACCGCACCTGGGCTTGATACATATTAATTCAGACACAGTCATTTTGGTATGGGACGGAGTGCTAAGCTGTGCAATGCCAAGAGGCTGGGGAAGGGAGGAACCGCAGCAGCTAGAAGAACTAAGTGAGGCCCAGAGTCTGTGCTGAGAAGCAGATTCCCAAGGAGGGTGTTGCCAGATTTTGGAGGTTCTTTGAGTGCCATCCAGGAATGGGAAGTTTCCTCTGAGCTATGATTATGGTTATAATCAACAACACATCCAATCTCTGACATCTGCGGTTCTCACCCTACCCCGTCCTCACTTGGCGCTGACGCCATTTTGGGCCTCAGCCTGTCTGTACCCAGGCGCTCATGAAAACGGCGAGTTGTTCCGTGGCGCGCTCTGAGGATTAGAACCGATAATAGAGCCTTGCAGAGACCAGGCTGACCAACATGGGGAAACCCGGTCTCTACTAAAAATACAAAAACTAGCTGGGCGTGGTGGTGGGCGCCTGTAATCCCAGCTACTGTACTCGGGAGACTAAGGCAGGAGAATCGCTTGAACCCGGGAGGCGGACGTTGCAGTGAGCCAAGATTACGCCACTGCACTCCAGCCTGGGCAACAATGGCAAAACAACAACAACAAAAATTACGTGACCAGGCACGGTGGTGTACACCTGTAATCCCAGCACTGTGGGAGGCCAAAGTGGGAGGATCACTTGAGGCTGGTAGTTCGAGACCAGCCTAGTCAGCATAGTGAGACACTGTCTCTATAAAAAATGTTTGTAAAAATGAGCTGAGCTACTAAAAGTAGGCTGTAGTTCCAGCTACTTGGGAGGCTGAGGCTGTAGTGATCTAGGATCGCACCGCTGCACTCCAACCTGGGTAATGGAGGCAGACACTGTCTCAAAAAAAAAAAAAAGTGACCGCCACACATAGATTTCTATTTCTTTCTTCTATTATTATTATTATATTTTGAGACAGATTCTCACTCTGTTGCCCAGGCTGGAAGGCAGTGGTGCGATCTCAGCTCACTGCAACCTCTACCTCCAGGATTCAAGCGATTCTTCTGCCTCAGCCTGCTGAATAGCTGGGACTCCCAGCTATTCAAGTCCCAATATGCCCAGCTAATTTTTGTATTTTTATTACAGATGGGGTTTCACCACATTGGCAAGGCTGATCTCAAACACCTGACCTCAGGTGATGCAACCGCCTTGGCCTCCCAAATTGGGATTACAGGCATGAGCCATGACACCCGACCAACATCATAGATTTCTGGCTTTAAAAAAACCCTGGTTATACTGATCAAGCCTCCTCCCCAATCTTACAGAGGAAGGAACTAAGACACAGAGAGGGTGAGAAAAGTGCCCAAAAACACACAGCAAATTTAGGACTGAGCTCCAGTTCTCTCCAGGGGTTTTCCACATCTCAAGGTCTCTCACACCTATTCCTGGAGCTACCAGTCTTGTCAAGGTTGCCAGTCCCTGGGATCTTGCTGGTTCCTGGCTTCCTAAAATACAGGCCCCAATGGTCCTGCCCACCTTCCTGTCCTGCCTTGAGCTCCCCACCCCTACCTCCAGACGGATTGGGAGCTGTGACCCCAGCTCTGTGGTCCCAAAGGGAGGCCAGCAAAAGCAGCCATCAGGGGATTTATTGTCCAACAGGAAGGGCTGGGATCAGTGTCTTCTGCTGCTCTTCCCTGGGTCAACCATTTCCTGGCCCTGGCCCCTCTGTTGATTCTTCTGCTAACCTGGTATGGAGGAGGGGTGGACAAGGGCCTGGGATGGAGACCCTTGATACCCACAGCTCTGACATAAACAGGCAGAGGGGCTCTCTGACCTCAGATCTGACCCCTGCCTGTGCTCTGTTGGCATTCCATGGTGAGGCCCTTCAGTCTCATTTGGGCAGAAGGTGTCCCGGGGACTGCAAAGAGCTTTTTTTTTTTTTTTAATAGAGACGGGGTTTCACTGTGTTGGCCAGGTTGGTCTTGGACTGCTGACCTCAGATAATCCACCCACTTCGGCCTCCCAAAGTGTTGGGATTACAAGCGTGAGCCACCATGCCCAGCCTCTTTTCTTTTTTTTTTTTCTGAGACAGTCTTACACTGTTGCCCAGGCTGGCGTGTAATGGCACGATCTTGGCTCACTGCAACCTCTGCCTCCCTAGTTCACTCGATTCTCCTGCCTAGGTCTCCCAAGTAGCTGGGATTACATGTGCTCACCACTGCACCTGGCTAATTTTTTTGTATTTTTAATAGAGATGGAGTTTCACTATGTTGGCCAGACTGATCTTGAACTCCTGACCTTGTGATCCACCTGCCTCAGCTTCCCAAAGTGCTGGGATTACAGGCATGAGTCACTGCGCTCTTTTTTTTTTTTTTTTTTTTTTTTT